GTCTGTCTGTCTGTCTGTCTGTCTGTCTGTCTGTCTGTCTGTCTGTCTGTCTGTCTGTCTGTCTATCTATCTATCTATCTATCTATCTATCTATCTATCTATGGCTGCTCTCGTAGACACCCCCTCAACTTTGGGTATAAAAAGAGCTAGCAAGAGAGGTGAGACGAATATAACTCGCTGGTCATGACATGACATTACGACAACGCCGTCGCGTATGCCATCAAACGCTTTTTTCCAGACAGTTGCACATACCCGCAAGCAGGTATGCGCCACGGTTGATTGACTGTTTATACCTACCCACCTAACGGCGAAGATGACTGTCTGCAACTTGTAAAGAATATTATTAATATTAGCAAAGAAAACGAACCCTTAAACTTACTTCTTTTGTTCAGAACAGACATGAATAATTTTAACTCGTGAGCGTCAACAAAAAGCTTACATCGGCAGCGGTGAACCGACGAATATGAAGAATAAAATGTCGGAGTAGCAGCACTAGTCGAACCTCAGCATTCTGCGTGCCAATCAAGTATTCTACATAAGAACTATGCCATGTCTCGAAACTACTCTTCAAATAGACCCCATTGTTCGTGAAACTTTAAGTGTGATGGCAGTGCTAGGTATGCAATATGAAAAACATTACGTATGTACTCGCAGCCCTCAGTCCCCAGTGGCTGCGAAGCTATATATTGACCGCGAATCGATTGAGCGCAGCAGAAGGTGCTAAGAATCTCTGGATCCGGACAGGCCGCCATTGGAACCTGAACTTGGCAACGTTTAACGCTAGAACATTATCTAGTGAGGGAAGTCTAGCTGTAGTATTCGAGGAGCTAAAGGGTATTAAATGGGAAATAATAGGGCTCAGGGAGGTTAGGAGAACAGATGAGGCCTATACTGTGCTACAGCGCAGGCACCTTTTTTGTTATCGGGGCTTGGCTGACAGAAGAGAACTGGGAGGGGGGTTTCTTATCCACAGAAACATAACTGGTAACATAGAGGAATATATAGCATTATGAAAGGCTGGTAGGTATCGTAACTAAACTCACAGGAGATACAAGATGAAGGTGGTACAGACTTATGCGCCTACGTTCATCCATGATGACGCGTCAGTTGAAAGGCTGTATGGAGGCGTGGAATGGCCAATGAGTAAAGTAGAACACTGTATACTATACTGAGGGTGACTTCAATGCAAAAGTAGGGAAGAAACAGGCTGGAGACCAGGCAGTAGGAGATTATGACATCGGTAGTAGAAATACCAGAGGGGAGCTACTAGTAGAATCCACAAAACGCAATATTTTACGGATTTTGATTACCTTCTACTGAAAGCGAGGGAACCCTGGGTGGACATGGAGCCATAATGGCGAAAATAAGAACGAAATAAAATTTATACTCAGGTAACACTGGGGCATCGTGCAGATTGTGGAAGTGCTTGGCAAGGTACGATCCAGTGACCATAGAATGTTACGGTCCCGAATTCGCCTAGAGTTGAAGAAGGAACGACAGAAAATGATACGCAAGAAGTCAATCAATGAGCTAGCACTGATAGGGAAAGTGCAGGAATTCAGAGTCTCACTTCAGCACAGGTACTCCGAGAGCTCTTATTGAGGAAAACAGCCTTAGCGTTGGCGCAATGAATGATAATCTGACGAGTATCATTACGGAGTGTGCAGTGGAAGTTGGAGGTACTTTAGATAGACAAGACACTGGCAAGCTGTCCCAGGAAACAAAGAATCTCATTAGGAAGCGTCAAAGCATGAAATCTCCAAGTACAACAGACTAAATAGAGTTGGTAGAGCTTTCGAAGTTGATTAATAAACGTCAGGTATCCGGTGTAAAAAGGTATACCATAGAGAGAATCGAACACGCTCTGAAAAACGGGGGATGCGTCAAAGCAGTTAAGACAAAACTTGGGATAGGCAAAAACCAGATGTATGCACTAAAGAACAAGGAAGGCAAAGTAACTACCAATATGGATAGGATAGTAAAATTAGCGGAGGAGTTTTACTGAGATCTGTACAGTAGCCATTACAACCACGACCCTAATGTAAGAACTAGCAGTAACCCAGATGACATCCCACCAGAAATGGTGGAAAAAGTCAGAGAAGCCTTAGAGAGCATGCAAAGAGGCAAAGCTACTGGTGAGGATCAGGTAACATCAGATCTGCTGAAAGATGGAGGACAGATTGCGTTCGAAAAACTACCGGCCCAGTTTTCGAGGTGTCTCCTGACGGGAAGAGCACCAGAATCTTGGAATAATGCTAACGTCATCCTAATACAAAAGAAAGGGGATGTCAAGGAGTTGCAGTATTACAGGCAGATCAGCTTCCTCTCCGGGGTGTACAAGCTATTTGCAAAGGTAATTGCTAAGAGAATGAAGACAACATCAGAATTCAATCAACCAAAGCAAAAAGCAGGATTTCGAACAGGTCACTCAACAATCGACCACATTCATACTATCAATCACGTAGTATTGAAATGCTCAGAATATAGCCAGCCACTATACATAGCCTTCATAGATTACAAGAAGGCGTTTGATTCAGTAAAAATATCAGCAGTCATGCAGACACTGCGGAATCAGGGCGCCGATGAAGTATATAGAAACATTCTGGAAGAAATCGACAGGGGATCAACTGCTACCATAGTGCTTCATAAATAAAGCAACAGAATACAAATCAAGGAGGGTGTAAGGCAGAGGGATACAGCTCCCCAACGCTATTTACCGCGTGCCTACAGGCGGTTTTCATAGGCCTAGAATGGGAACAGGTAACCATAGGAGTTAATGGAGAGTACCTTAGTAACCTGCGCTTCACCGATGACATTGCATTGCTGAGTAACTCAGGGGACGAACTGCAACTCATGATTACGGAGTCAGACAAGGCGAGCAGAAAAGTAGGTCTGAAAATTTATCCGCAGAAAACGAAAGTAATGGACAACAACCTCGGAAGCGAGCAGCGCTTCGAGATAGGTAATAGTGCACTTGAAGTTGTAAAAGACTATGTCTACTTAGGCCAGGTAATAACCACGGAGCCGAACCCCGAGACTGAAGTAACTCGAAGAATAAGAATGGGGTAGAGCACATTTGGCAAGCACTCTGAAATCATGATAGGTAGATTGCCACTATCCCTCAAGAGGAAGGTGGATAACAGCTGCATGTTGCCGGTACTCAGCTATGGAGCAAAAACATAGGGGCTTAGACAGATGGTTCAGCTTAAATGGAGGACAATGCAGCGAGCAATGGAAAGGAAAATGGTAGGTGTAACCTTAAGAGAGAAGAGAGCAGAGCTCACGCGATTAGGGAACAAACCGGGGTTAAGAATATCAAGAAAACAAGAAGAGTTGAAATCAAGAAGAGGAAATGGACATGGGTTGGGCATGTAGCACGTAGACATGATAACCGCTGGTCATTAAGGGTAACTAACTGGATTCCTAGAGAACGCAAGCGGGTTAGGTGAAGACAGAAGGTTAGGTGGGCAGACGAGATTAAGAAGTTTGCGGGTATAAATTGGCAGCAGCAAGCACAGGAACGAGTTGACTGGTGGAACATAGGAGATGCCTTTGTCCTGCAGTGGACGTAGTCAGGCTGATGATGATGATGACATATGTACTCATTTGACACATACGTACTCCTTGGAGTTGACTTCAGATGTAGTTAGGTGCCAACTGCTGAAGTTTATTTATGCAGCGGTGTCGAGGGCTACCGTCCTCGGAAGCGAAAGTGCTACATATCAGCTTACCTCTTTTGGTGTTCCTAATATCCATGTTGCCGTTGGCATCGCTACGCTACTGTAAATAGCTGGTTATATAAAACACATGCGAATGTCTATTGTATTTATTTATTTATTTATTTATTTATTATTTATTAGTTACCTGTTTCGCCAAAAGGCATTCGAGTAGGAAGGTACAGTACATATTATCAAACACATAAAAACATTCATAAGGCATTACAGTCTACTTCCGGTGGCAGAGTGTTCCATTCTCTTATAGTGCGGAAAAGAAAGAGAAGCGAAAAGCGTCACCCCCAACAGGAATTTCGCGTGTTTTGAAGTGATGATCGCGTCTTTGAAAAACATAGTTGGGTGGTTGAAAAAACAATGGCCCGATGATCCCTGTTCTCGAATGATAAATGCTATGAAAGAATTTTATTATGAGGTTTCGACGACGGTTTTCAAGAAGATCCCAGTTTAATGTTTTTCTGCTCTCGGTCACACTAAGCATCCTGTCGTAATTTCAAATGACAAATCGAATTGCTCTATTCTGCACTTTCTTAAGTTTATCTGTAAGTTCCTTAGTATATGGGTCCCAGCAGACGCACGAATACTCCAGTATACTGCGTGCTTGTGTAAAATAGAACTGCTCTCTAAGCTTTGGTGGTAAAATACTGAAGTTACGTTTAAGAAAACCTCATGTTCCTACCGCCTTGTTCCTAACGTAAGTCACTTGTTTATTTCACCTCAAATTAGCAGTAAAAAATACGCCTGAATATATATATTCGGTGACATGTTGAACATTAGCGTTATTGATCGTGTAATGATTTCTGCAGTGCGAGAGTTTACTGGTAAAGGTAATGTGAACGCATTTTATCACATTCAACGACAATTTTCTTTATCACAACTCGTGGCAATCAAATCTAAATCGTTTTATCGTTTTGCAGTGCGTGTTTGTGATGGTCGCTATTGATGGCCCTATATACTCTACAGTCATCTGAAAACATTCTAAATGATGATGTGATACCAAAAGTGATGTAATTTATGAATAACAAATATAAACGCGGACCTAAGACTGATCCCTGTGGTACACCAGAGGTCACAGCAACATATGTAGAGGAAGAACCATTAAGAGCCACAGACATCCGCCTTGGGCGAATATACTCCACTATTCATGCAATAACCTTATCATTAAATTTTAATATCCAAGTTTAGTGATCAAGAGACTATGCTTAACGGCGTCAAAAGCTTTTCTGAAATCCAGAAATATACATTCAACACTTTGCTGCTTGTCGACAGCTGAGGCAAGGTCATGAGTAAATTCTACCAATTGCGTCCTACAAGAAAAGCCCTGCCAGAAGCCATGCTGACAAGGATGAAGAAAGTTATTGGCAACAAGGTGAGACATGATGCTGCTATAAATCACATGTTCCGTAACTTTGCATACAGTACTAGTTAACGACACTGGCCTATAATTTTCAACTCTGTCCCTCTGTCCACTTTTATAATCAATCAATCAATCAATCAATCAATGAAGCTTTATTTTCATAAATAGATATATGCAATTACAGGGATTATTTGGACAGATAGCCTAAAGTGGCTAGTGGACGGTCCAATACAATGTGCAACATAAAAAAGTGTACAGGTCAGCTCTGAGGTAACAACATAAAAAAAAACAATCATGTGATACAGATAACACAGTAATACATTTTTCTTGCAGATATGCATACTTATTAGCTTGCAGCTAGTTTCTATACATAGGCACTTATTAAAAAAATACAATGAAAATCGAATCACACACACATGCTTACATGTCTTGACTCCACAGAAAAAATGATTTACATGCCATGCTGAAATTACGTGCCGTTTTAATCTCTAGGGGGACCGTGTTCCATATTTTTGTTCCACTAAACTGTATCAGTCTTTCTCCGTAAACATTAAAACATTTGGGCAGATTGAAATTACCATTCGAAGCATGTCGCGTATTGCGTTTAGGAATTGAAAAAAGATCAGCAGGCAAAGGTGAATTTCTATTAATTATGTTATTTACTGAAACAGCAATTTTGTAGTCACGCAACATCGGAACCGAGAGAATGCGTTGTGATTGGAAAATATTACTTACTGATTCACCTTGGCTTATGATTTTCAGTGTACGCTTTTGAAGTCGTTCAAGAGTTTTTAGATAACTGTTGTACGTCACACCCCACGATTCCAGACAGTAACCTATGTGACAATGACACAATGAAAAGTAGAGTGTGCGGAGAATAGCTTGTGGAAAATATTGGCGAGCTTTTATTAGAGAATAGCAGCCATAGGCTAGCTTTGCGCACACACTTTGTACTTGCTCATGCCAGTGTAAGTGTTCATCAAAAGTGACGCCTAAATATTTAAAACAAGGAACTTGTTGAATAGGAGTGTTGTTTATTGTTAGGTTAAGAGATTCAGCGTCAATATGTTTCCTACGAGAGTGAAACACCATATACTTTGTTTTAGTACAGTTAACAGTCAGCTGATTCCTGGCAAACCATTCCGAAATGTTCGATAAATCGGTCATCGCGTCATTTTGTAAATCTGCTAAGGAGTGTCCTGTGAAAACTAAAACAGTGTCGTCCGCGTACATCAGTGTCCTTGACCTTTGTAGGGATCGCGGGACATCATTAATATAAAGAGAGAACAATATAGGGCCCAAAACTGAACCCTGTGGCACCCCGCATTTAATATAACCGTAGGATGATTTGATGTCACCAATGACTACCTTTTGTTTGCGTGCCGATAGATAACTAGAAAAAAAATCAAGCGAGTTACCTTTTATCCCATAAGAATGCATTTTTTCCAGTAAAATGGAATGACTAATAGCATCAAATGCCTTTCGTATGTCTAAAAATACTGCTATTGCTATGTTGTTTTCATGTAGCGCGGAATTAATATATTGCGTAAGCATCGAAACAGCAGTTGAAGTGGACCTGTTTGCAACAAAGCCGTGTTGCTGGGGACAAAGTACATTCTGTTCACCCAGGAAGCGCCTTAATTGCGACGATATTAGTTTTTCAAGCGTAGTGTTAATACTACTCAGAACAGATATTGGTCTGTAGCTGTCCGGAAGATTCCGATCACCAGATTTGTACACTGGTATTACTTTGGCGGTCTTAAGTATACTAGGATAAGTTTTAGAGGAAAATGCATGATTAAATATATGGCATAAGGGACCACACAATACATCAATATTCTCCTTTAAAATCCTTGATGATATGGCGTCATGTCCAGCTGCCTTGTTCCCTGGTAACTTATTAATTACTTGTCGGATGTCATCCTCAGTTACATCACATAAATCAAAATTATTGGTAACAGTACAGGGTGCATTTAAATTCTGCATATGAGTAGGGAACTTCCTCGCAAGGCTGAAACCAATATTAGTAAAGTAATCGTTAAAGTTGTCGGCCACTTCACGAGTTGGATTATCAGGTGTAATGCGTTCTTTGCTACCCATGCCAGTGACGTCTTTAACAATCTGCCATATTTTCTTCGTGTTACCACCATTTTTTTTCACTAGGTTGGTATAGTAGCACTTCTTGGATTTTCTTATCATTGCTACTGACTTGTTTCTGTAAAGCTTAAAATTTTGATGGTAGTATTCATTGCTCCTGTTATTTTTCCATTTGTCGTAGTAAAAATTTTTCAGCTTCAAAACCTCAAGTATATTTCTATTCATCCATGGACATATGGCATGGTCATAATTTCGGCGCGAACAGCTACGCGTTGATCGTTCAATGACATCCATAATGCATTTTACAATGTTATCACACTCGACGTCCACGTCTTCATCATAGAGGGCATCAAAATTCGTTCCTTGTAGTAGTTTTTGCACGGAATTATAGTCGACACGTGTTGTTCGTTTAATGGCAGGTATGGCAGGAGCACAAATGTATTTCTGGGGTAAAAATAGAAAGGTGGGATTGTGATCCGCAATAGCAACAGCGTATACGCCTGCCGATACATCCAGGTCAGCGTTACACAACACGTGATCAATAATCGACTCCGAGTGGTCTGTTATGCGAGTGGGTGATGAAATAACATTTCTCAGATTAACTGATTGTAGCAAAAACACGTAATCATCACATGTATCTCCAGACACGTCTATGTTAATATCACCGCAGACAATAATAGGTGCTTTAGAGGCCACAATGGGTATCATGGTACTTTCCATCACAGTAATGAAATCAGCCACACTGGAAATTGGTGGACGATATATTACACCGATGATGACACCATTCAGAAGATGAATAAAAAGAGTCTCTGCCGATGAACTGCAGCATGAGCTATTGCTAAGGTGAACGAAACTAAAGCAGTCTTTGATAAATAGCGCCACACCCCCTCCTCGTGTAGCACTGTTTCTAGGTTGCGAAAGCATGACGTAGCCGGGTAAATGAACTGATTCGCTTTCTCGAAGCCAAGTTTCAGTTATAGCGATGACATCATATTTAAACGAGTGCTGTGATAAGTACGAAAGCAGATGATCGAAGTTCTTTTTTATGCTGCGAATATTACAATGTAATACTGCGAAATGATCCTGCTGCAGCCATATGTTTTCAACCTCAGAAAAAGAAAACGCCATTTAAAAGTATAGGAAACTCCAGGTTACAGAAACAAGCAGGCAATCCTCAAACAACTTTTGAAAGATCCTCAGCACATGTGACGTGAAGCACACGTGAATTATCCGCCTTCCGCATCAAAATCTTTCCACCAGTTACCCAGGTGTACTTCCACTTTTTTTCCCGCTTTGTCTTTAGAGCGGCTGTTAGCAATTCCTTGTTTGCCGGACACAAGTGCTCATTTATGTACACTGGAGATGCGATGCCCTGAAAACCTAAAGCTGTCGTGTTAAGTCGTTGCTTCTTAGCAGTCTTCAGAACATTATCTTTCACAGCTCTCGAAAGAAACCTAACTATGATGTTAGGTGTTGACGCGTTCCTTGATGGCACTCGGTGCACGACGTCTATATCTGTTTCTTTGATTTCAACTTTCAGGTATAAATTGGTACCAAGCGGGCCAGCTTCCAGCCCCCAGCAATAATGCCGTCATTTAAGAAATTTTGGAATAAACGACAAAAACATAAACACAGAGTGCCCGACCGGTTATTAAGAAACATTGCCGGGATATCATCCAGAAAACACGCCTTCGTGTGTTTCAAGCCTTGCAATAATCTCTCGACTCCCGTCGCACTAACCGCAAGCTCAGAGATTTTGTCGGCTTGGACAGAAAAATCAACAGTTGTAACTGCACTAGCATCTGAAAAATCAGGCTGAAATACCGATGAAAAGTAATTAACAAAAACTTTGACCTTACTCGGATCATCAATAATCGTTCTGTCGGACAAGTGCAATGGTGGAACAGAAGTGTCCTCCTTACCGCTTCTGTTAACGTATTTACACAATTCATTAGGATAGTCTACCGGCCTGTGGCCTCTGAGTCTTGCTAAGCCGATGGATTCTTCTGATTTTTCTTAATAAAGAACTGAGTTGCCTGTTAAACCATGGTTTACCTTTGGAACTTTTGGAAGAGAACGTTCGAACGGGAACAAGTTTAGAGCGCAGTTGAAAAAGCTTCTTTTTAAGTACTCCCCATAACTCTCCCCCGTTTAATTCATCTGCCAATGTGTCAAAAGTGGTAAAGAAAGACTCAAGAGCTATATTCAGTGCAACGTAGTTAGTTAGCCCTGTTATATGCATACCCTGTTCTATGGACTTTTTTGATACACACACATTTCGAAATGTAGCGTCCACTAAAATAATCTCATGATCTCTTATGCCGGGCAAAGCACATATGTCTGAAATATTGTTCGGCGCATCACAAAGTTACAAATCAAGCACGTTACCAGTCTCATCATTACGCGAAGGATTTCTTACCAACTGATGCAGACTGTTTTCGTGCATAAATTCCAAGAAGGATTTGTATAAACCACCTGTTGAATCACCTGTCAGACAATTGCTCGACCCCCCAATCTAAACCGGAAAGGTTAAAATCACTTTCCAGTATAATGTAATCACACTGAACCGTCTCAAAAAAAGTAGTCAATTGAGCAAACTGTTGACAAGAGGCACCAGGGGGCCGATATTAAGAACCAATGAGAGAACATTGGCCATTATCAGCCCGCAACTTGCAAAAAACAGATTCACATTCCAAAGCACAATCGACTCGAACACAAGCCAAGTCTGATCGTACAAGGATTAGTAAACCAACACCCCTAGATTCACGGTCCGGGCTAAAACAGTGATAACCAACGGGAAACAATTCTCTGTCAAGGACAGTGGCATTGAGCCATGATTCAGTGCCTAATATTACTGGAGACTGAATAGAACTTAACAGCAAGTGAAAGTCATCAACCTTATTTCTAAGAGTTCT